CGGCTTAGCAGAACTGTAGCTTCTACGCTAGCCAACAAGCACCAAATGGTTGTAAAGGACTATGTCAAGGACGTAGCCTCTTCCTTCTCCTATGGAGGAGGGGAAGTAATCCACAAGATCTCCTTCCTGGTGAGCGACGAACTGCCATTCGATATGCTACTAGGCATGTACTACCTTGAAGTCTCGCAACCGCAATTTGATTGGGATAGAAAGGTGTTGATTCACAAACTGCCCAATGGTAGAACTGTTAGATTGCAGAAGTTAAAGCTAGCAGTCTAATAGAGAACTACGGGTGTATGTGTGCTTCATCCTTCTATAACTATTACAAGCAGAATCAGGAGGAGGGCATGTACCTAGTCTGTGTCTCTGAAAAAGGGGAGGCCGTTGAATCATCCCCTGAGATAGAAAAAATCGTCTCACAATATTCAGACCTTTTTGAGGAGCCCACAGGCGTGGTGGAAAGGGAGGTTGTCCATGCAATAGAGGTTGTCCCGGGTAGTAAGGTGCCTAGAGGACGAATCTATAGGATCTCCTGCGGAGTTAGATGAGCTTCGCCGCCAGCTAAAGGAGCTCATAGAGAAGGGATGGATACGGCCTAGTACCTCCCCTTACGGTGCGCCAGTCTTATTTGTTCCTAAGAAGGGAGGTCCATTAAGGATGTGCATTGACCATAGGGGCCTCAATGCCATCACCGTTAAGAATGCGGAGCCCCTACCCTGCATTGACGACCTCTTGGATAGAGTGCAGGGATGTCGGTACTTCACAAAGATAGATTTGAAGTCCGGATACCATCAAATTGCCGTTAGACCTGAGGACCAGCACAAAACCGCATTTCATACCAGGTACGGTCTGTACGAGTTTGTGGTAATGCCCTTTGGCCTATGCAGTGCACCTGGTACGTTCCAGCACGCGATGAACCGGAGCTTTCATAACTACTTGGACAAGTTTATCGTCGTGTACCTCGACGATATTCTCATCTTTAGTAGGACTGTAGAGGAGCACGCTGAGCACTTGAAAACAGTGCTAGGTCTCCTTAGATAGCACCAATACAAAGTGAACTTGGATAAATGCGAGTTTGGTCGCACCAAGATCCTGTACCTGGGTCATGAAATTTCAGCAGATGGATTGAGGCCGGATGATGCGAAAGTGGCCAGCATACGTGATTGGCCCAGACCTCAGACTGTTACCGAGGTCAGATCGTTTTTGGGGATGACGAGCTATTATCGTTCGTTTGTGAAGAACTATAGTACTATAGCCTCCCCATTAACGGATCTAACTCGACTTGGCACCCCTTGGGAGTGGACTGAAGAGTGTGAAGCAAGCTTCAAGAAATTGAAGTATGCTCTAGAACACTATGAAGTTCTCAAACTTCCTGATCCTGACAAGCCATTTGTTGTGACCACAGACGCTAGCCAATATGGCATAGGCGCGGTCCTTGCGCAACAGGAAGGGCCCAAGTTGAGACCGATCGAGTACATGAGCAAGAAGATGCCATCTCAGAAGTTGGCTAAGTCCACTTATGAGAGAGAGCTCTACGCCCTGTATAGAGCGCTAGTTCATTGGAGACATTACCTCCTAGGAAGATTCTTCTATGTGAGGTCGGACCATGAGACTTTGCGCTGGATCAAGACACAGCTAGTCTTGTCGGACGCACTCAAGAGATGGATTCAAGTGATAGACATGTATGACTATCAACTTGATCCTATCAAGGGTACGTACAACAAAGTGGCTGATGCGCTATCGAGAAGGGCAGATTGTCTGGGCGTGCTAGTTTCTAAGTTTGGCATATCTGACGAACTTTCTCGATCGCTGGTGGAAGCCTATCAGGGAGACCCAGTCATGTCAAAGATCATTCGTAGATTCAAGGCAAAGGATAAGAAGACTTTGGACGAATTTACAATGGTAGACAACTTGCTGTTCCTTGATAAGGCAGGGAATAAAGGACTATGTGTCACTAATAGCGAGTCTTTGCGTAGTTTATTTTTAGGAGAGTGTCACGATGCAACTGGTCATTTTGGCTATAAGAAGACAGCAGCAAACTTAGTTCAGAGATTCTGGTGGCCCTTTATGATGGAAGATGCAAAACAATATGTTGAAACCTCCCAGGTTTGCCAAAGGGACAAACCGAGGACTCAGGCTCCGCTGGGGCTCATCAAGCCCTTGCCGATTCCTGAAGGTCCTGGTCAAAGTGTGTCCATGGACTTCATGGATACTCTTGTGACCAGTAAGTCTGAAAAGAGACACATCTTCGTAATAGTGGACCGTTTCACTAAGTATGCAAGACTAATCGCTATGCCAGAAACAGCTAAAACTGACCACATCATCAAACTGTTTATGGACAATTGGGTTCGTGACTTCGGTTTGCATACGTCGATCGTTAGTGATAGGGATGTCAGGTTCACTAGTGAACTGTGGCAGTCAACTGCTGAGCAAATGGGCACAAAGCTCCAGATGACGTCAGGGAATCGCCCTGAGTCAAATGGCCAAGCAAAACAGATGAACCGGGTAGTGCAGCACCTGCTTAGGCATTATATTAAGCCAAGCCAGGATGACTGGGACGAAAAGTTACCTCTCGTCGCCAGCCTGTACAATAATGTTGTGCACAGCACCACCGGTATGACTCCCAACCAGCTACATCTTGGTTGGAAGCCCAGATCTGCGCTTGACTTTCTGTTACTAGAAAGACAACCTACTGCAGCACCTGGCAGCATAGAGTTTGCTGTCAAGGATGAACAGATGCTGCAGCAGGCCGTTGAACATATTCAGAATTCTCAAGATGCTATGATTGCATATGAGAACAAACATAGACGGCCTTCTAACTTTCAGGTAGGTGAGAGAGTCTGGGTGAAATCATCTGAACTGGGACAAGAGATAGGGATCTCAAGGAACCTGATGCCTCAGTACTTCGGGCCCTGGGAGATTTTAGATATTGTAGGGGATCAACCGGATGGGCCTTCCTACGTGATTCGCATCCCTGCACACTTATGGACCTATCCTGTTTTCCATGCCTCCAAGCTGGCACCTTTTTCTGCCACAGACCAGTTTCCCTCTCGGAGATCGATGCTGCTCCCAACCATGGATGGCGAAGTGGACATTGACCAGATCGTCGAGCATCGAATGATGCCTGTTCCTCGACCATCAGGCAAAGGGCGACCTCCAAAACCAAGAATGCAGTATCGTGTGAGCTTCAGACATCATCTGGATCCTAAAGAAGATTGGTGGCTCACACGAGAAGAAGTCATGAGAACAGCACCTCAAGATATTGCAGGCAATGAAAGAGAACGGAAAGGGAAGATGCCTGCAGAATAATAGACTTCTCAGAGGACTCACGAAGTTCGGGAGGAGGGAATGCGAGGATCAGGGTCCTCGGAAGGGCTATGGGGCCCTGTCTGCAGCCTTACCCGCGCTAAGTGAAGGCGGAGGTGCCCGCCCTAAGTGAAGGCGGGCCTGGCTTTTTGCAAAAGGCCTTCTGCTGTCAATTTCATGTTTGGTGTTTAGGCAGTTGCGACGTGCGAGTTGGTTGAAAGAAACACAGGCCGAGCAACCCAGGCATTTCCACGGCCCTCCGGGCTTTTCCAAAGAATGCAGGCCCTGGGCGTGAATCACAGCCTCATACAGAGACAGTTGGGTGCCCAACCGAACGAGGCCCAGCAGCCCAGTAGCTCCTGCATCCAAGCAGCCTCCCGGGGCCTTCCGGAAGCTTCTGGGCCCAGGCCAGCCCATTCAGGCTGCGAAAGCAGCTAGCTCTTTCCATTAAGGAAAGAGCTCTGGCCAGGCCAGGGCATTCAGGCACTTGCACGCTGGGCGGCAGCGCTGCTGGAGCTTATGCTCGTAGGCTGCTGCTAGCGCTGAGGAGGCGAGGTGCAGCACGTGCGGTCTTGCAGAGGAGGAGGGCGCTGCTGAGGGCAGCGCCATAGCCCAGCCACCATAGCTGGTGGGCTTGGACTACAGTGAAGCGCGGGGGTGGTCTTCGGGTGACAGAGAGGACAGGTGCGGGTGAAGTTAGGGTATAGGTGAAGGATGATGATGATGATGATGTGAGGGCACGTACCTTGTATTGGCGATGGTCTGCATGGGCGGCATCTTCAAGTACTTCGGGCTGCTGCTGATGTCAACAGTTGCATTGTCATTTTGTAGTCTGTAGTAGCTGTGTAGGAGTAGGCTGGGCGCTGAGCGCCAAGTGTGAGTGTAAGGGAACTGGACACTAGTGAGGGAGAGAGTGTGCTCTCCATGAACATTGGTTTTCAGTGCTACGAAACTCCATTGGTGTATTATTGGTGCAATGCTGCTATCTGGACACGGTGTGACTATTTGGCTTGCAATGTGATGGTGTGATCTGGGATTGTCATCTCGCTGTTGCCTATTTTCCTTGCATATATGTATCAATTTTTATACTTTGGGTTTCCGTTTAAGCTCATAGCTTATGGCTAGGGGTACGCCTAGTTGCATGCTTTTGCCCCCCTCAGAAGAAAACACACAAAACTGGGTTCATGCAACTTAGAATGTCCCCAATTCTGTTTCAACAACCTAAAAGAAACATCAGGGATCTGAACCTCCCAACTTAGGGCGCCCGTCCTCCTGTTCAGAAACCCCAAAAGAAACAAGTGAATGGACCGTCCAACTTAGGATAGGCCCAGTCCTTAACCCACCAGTACTTGGCCCAGCTATCGATGCCAAGCTTGGAATGCCCCTGGGCGCCAATTTTTGCCGAAGCACTGGGGTACCGTTTCAATTTTTTTTGGGCTGGTGCTTCCGGCCATTGTGGTCCAGTACCCCGAAACCCTAAAGGCGCGGCACGTTAACAGGGAAGCGCCGCGGCCGATATCTGGGCCAACCACTGGTGGCTTAAAGGTCATGCATTCAGCCCAGCAGACAAAAGTAAAACATAGCACTGAACCACTTAGAGTGATTCAGCCTTTGGTTGACCTCGTCAAGTGCAAGCAAAACACCTTTCTCCCGCCTTCCCCCTTTCATTTTCTTAGTTCAAACAGATAAATGATCTGATTCTCACACATATTTCATTTTACCCCAGTTCATAATGTGAATCCTGAAATAAGATACAAAACAAAGAAAAGTTAAGAGGTTAGTTTCAATCGTATTCTCAGTCAAAACAGTAGAAGGTAGTAGAATTAGGGGAATACGGGATCACACTTGTAAAACGAAATTATACCTGAGTGTTTCTCTTCCTCCAGAAACCTTGACCAGACTCTGGCAGAGCTCCCGCAATTGGTGGGCTGACCTCGCACAAGGTCTTGCTGTGGTCTTCTGGGTTGCAGTCCCACCTGCCGCCTTCCTCTCCCGAACAATAGATCAGGCTGAGAGTAAGAAGGACAGAAGTAGGAAAGTCAGTCTCCCGGGGGCCCTGCAATGGTGGCCAAGTGCAAAGATTGCAGTCAAAACTGCGCCCCAGAAAATGTAGCAATTCCTCGGAGGACTCGATCAACTAGCCAGTCACCGCCCAACTCACAGTATGCCAACCACTCCGTCGAAACTGCAGCTATGCAGCATTTGAGAGCCCTCTTCGAATGGAGCACACCCCTGTGCTCTTTTCAAATATGGGCTATTACAGCCCAACACAGACTAGTAAAAACCCAGCAAAGTAGAAGCGGATTTGCACAGAAGTGGTTTCTCGTTGTTCAATCACAACAGCACTGTCTAGCACGGAACCTCAACAATCTGCTGTGATCGAATAGCAGGGCTGTAAGGCCAATGCTGTCTTATCAACAACGACGGCCTCACTCAGCACAATGCTCAGACTGTCGGGCAAGAACCAACATCAATGAGCACAACAGAACTGAAACTCTGCTCAGCAAGAATGCCCAGCTGCAGCAGAGAGCACGATTAGTAGCAGCACCTAAACAAGTAGGAACCACTAGCCATCAATAAGCCATGGCGCACAACACCAGCCCTGAGACAAGTTGCCTCGGCAGCCACAACAGCAACAGTAAACAATCCGTGATTCAGAAGACACAGGTTGCGACGCCGGGTAAATAGGCTGCGGCTTGAAAGACAAGCTTCAGAGTGACGCAAATCACCGCAGCGAGAGCATCAATTACAGCAGTTCACACAACCTGCTTCAGACAGTATTGCGGTCCACAGCCTTATCAGAAAGAACACAGCCTTCTTGCCGCTGCAACAACGCTCGCTAAGAAGGTTAAGTCGCAGTACCCGAATACACAACGATGACGGTACTCAACCGCACAGAGCAGCAGGTTTTTGGTGGTGGCGAAGGTGTTCATAACTGGTACCAGGTAAATAGCAGCAGAATTATGCCAGAAGGGGCTCGCTCTGCTATTTACAAGGAGAAAAATATGCCAAAATGAGAATGAATCCTTCGATAGAACATGTGAGGATACACCGCCAATTCCACCATGCACACTCTTGTTACTTACCCACCACTACTTAACGCGCCTGACCGACACCTTGATCGGGTTCATGCATTCTCATCAGCACCTGTGCAAGGGAGGCGACTGCCGAGGGCATGATCCTGACCGTGAGGAGAAGCGCGTACAGTAGCAGGATCTGGACGCCGAAGCAACGCGACTACCAGGTGACGAGGAGGAGACCTTGTGGGCGATGAAGATAAGCACCGGGCTGTGGACGACGAGCACCTAGTACCCATGATCACGACTACCACTACTAAACAAGGCGAGTATGAATTTTATGCTAGAACAAGGAAAGATACACTTCAGTAATTGAGGCCACCAGGAAGACGGAGCACCGACATTGCAACGACGAGCAATTTCATTACGGACGGGATCCCATTGGTAAGCACAAGCAGGATCTCTACGAGGAGCACGTGCAGAAGCGCGATCAGCAGTCGGACCTTGCCGGCGAACATGAAGACGAGTACAAGGACGAGGATGGTGCGCAGGACGACCCCATTCTCCTAATGAGCAAAATGGGAGTGAATTTTCTGCTAGAACATGGAAATGTACATCGCCGAACTCCATCTTTTCGTCATCGTATCCATTCTCTTCTTTCTCGTTACCTTTCTCCCCTCCGTCGCTTGTACATATAGCCATACCCCACGCCCACATTCACTCAGTCTCTCCTTCTTTCACTTTTCCTCCTCTCTACCTCTCACACTCCTCCCGCTTGCTGCTCTGTCCCTCGCCCAACTTCTCTTGATGCACCTGTTGGACCTCCGGCCAAGTTCAGATTACAGTGCAAGAAAGGTAGCCACAGGGTAATGACAAGTTTCTCGATGAAGATGGTTAGGACAACCAGCTTGATGATGACAAAAATCAAGACAATGAGCACGAAGTCGAGTAGCGCAGCGACCACCCACTAACTATGTAAAATGAGAATGAATCTTCCTCTAGAATGCGGATAGATGCTCCACCATATGTCGATTTCCCATAGTGGTACCGCGGCCTCTACTCCTGTTTTGCCACTCCAAAGCCCAGCATGCAAAATCCGCCATTGCCATCGGACCCGCCCGATTCGACTGAGAAACGAAAGGCTTCATCTCGATAGCCCTTCTTCTTCCTCTTCTCGAACCTTTTCTTTCACTTCCACCTCCCACTCTCGTCCTCAAATGGCCATACCAACAGCACCATTCAATCCGCCCACTCAGAAACTGAGAATCGAGTTCTGCCTCGCCTAAATCCGTTGAGGAACAAGCGAGCAGGCCACGCTCCCGATTTGTCCCTCCCGTTGCTTCCTTTGTCTTCTTGGCGGTCATTCTCTGCCTGTGTTCACGCCCACTTAGCGCAGCTTCATTTTCCGACCAGCACAGGCGCCCGGTTCCTCAGTGCGTCCAACTGCTAATGTGACTGAAAGCGGACTGAGTGGAAATCCGCACCCGCTGTCGGCCACTACTTACTTGAGACAACATCATCCCTTATTCAACCGTACGCGGCCAGCCCTCACACCTATGTTTAGAAGAGGTCTGTGAGGGACGATACCAGGTGATGGGTTACTAGAGTCTTTTCAGTATTGTTCCAATTTTAACGAATGTCCCGAAGGACTAGGCTATTAGGCAACGACTTCGAAACATTATCATTGAACTGACCGGTCCCAAACACTCGGAAAATATCTGGTTTTATTCATCTAAAAACCATCAGCACGCCCTACTTATGCCAACCTTTCCAAGATCGTTGGCAGCTTCTACTGCTCGCAAAACACGGTCGACCTTGAGCGCCTGCAAACCCAAACGCCGACTTTGAAAAGTCAACGAACTTTATCTCTGACCGACGACCATCAAGATGCCGGTCTCTGTGCGAGCACTTGCGCTAGTAGTCGGAATTTTAATCATTCTCTAGCTTGCGCCGTTGTGCAAGGTTTGATAATTACAACATCAGTTCAGTATATGACTAGATGTTTGTCAAAAACTGCGCGTGCCCTCAAAGTGCACGCTCACACACTCTCTGATCTGACCACTTGCGCGCTTGCCATTCCCGACTTCTGAGAGTCGGTGGTGGTTGTGCGAAAATGGGGCACTTGCTCAAGTATCATCAAGATGCATTTTGCGTGAGATGCAAAAATACGCACAAATACGCTTGTAAGGGTATTCGTCCCGACACCGATACTTATGTACCGACTCAAGCCCAGTACGGGCACCAAGTTTTCAGCCTCAATGCTTGTGTCCAGTGCAACTTTGCTTTGACATTGTGTTCAGGAATTCAAGACTGCGACTTTGCGGCTCTTGCCACTTTGTGTCTGCGTCCAGCGAGTAGTGTCGAGTCGAGTGAGCGTGTGTGTGTGCTCTCTCTCCCTGTCGCTCCCAGCCTCGCCGCTCTGCCTCTGCCTCGTCACACTGGTATAGGAGCGGCGTCAATCGTCCTCCCATAACGAATTTCGTAATATCCCTCAGCCAAGAGTTGTTTGATTTGTAATTCTGGATGACAGTTTTTTTAACTTTTTTTCAGAGATTTTTTATTTCTTTTCTTCTTTTTGCACTGGGACTGCCCAGGACCTTCACCAGGACTTTGCCCGGACCTAGGCGGGCCGGGCCACCTGAGCCACTGTGAGGCAACCCGGGTGGCCGGTTGGTAACCCAGGCACGACTGGTGACCCAGGCACGCAACACATTTCAAAAACATCATAACTATATCTTTGTTTTATGAAGAGCAGGGAAGGGGTTGAAAATGTTTGTAACTTTGTAGGGACTATAGGCGAGTTGCTCTAGGTGTTGAATTTTCAGTGCTTTAAACTGCTGTAGCATTATTTTATTTTTCTGTTTTTATCCTCATCTTCAATTCTGTCATGAATTTCGAGGTCACCCTCATCTTTACCTGGATTCAGTCATGAAAAACTATCTGTCGTTGATGAAACCGGATAGAAAAGGTGGGCCTGATATATGGCTGTGCTGCCCAGGTTTTTGGAAATTTGAGATACGTTTTTTTCTTTTGAAACCACCAGTAGACGTTTGCTGGTGGACATGGAGGCCAGGGACTCTGCCTACTCGAAGCAGGCGGGGGGGGGGGGGGGGGGGGGCAGGCACACAAAAGTTCAGGTACCCCAGCTTTGGACTGTTTGAATTTTCACTTAGGATGATGGAGAAATCTGGGGCACCAGGGAAAAGTTTTCGAAAAGGTTTCAAAATTCAAAATATATTCCCGCTGAAGCGGCTGAACCGAATGCACACGTCGATCAGAGTGTGTCTGGTAGAGCTGACTTTTATGCTCGGGACCGGTCCATAAAAAAGGGAGTGAAGTGTCTGGGTTCCAAAGTCACGTTTGCAGATGCGACCATGAAATAGAACGTTTGGAGGCCATCATGGCTGACTCTCAAATTCGCTTGCGACCAAATTTTCCAACTCTGGCGAGCCACACGCGAATGCTCTTTCGACAGACAAGCATCTACAAATGGACCTTTCCATATAGATTGTGACATGGTTCAACAATCCAGGGTTCGCTTTAATGGTGGCGTAGGAGAGAGGCTGGTACCCAGCGTTTCATCTGCATGGTAGATACCTGATTTTCAGATTCTCTTTTGGAACGTTCGCCATATTAAAGAGTGACGGGTACTTAGCCTCGTGGCTGAATAGTAAACATGTAGCCTGATGTAGCTGTGTACTAACACAGATCTTGATGGATTGGATGATAAAAACGTTCGTTGTATCAAAGAGTGAGTGGTACTTAGCCTCCTGGCTGAACAGTAAACATGTAGCCTGATGTAGCTGTGTACAAAGTACTACAAACACAGATCTTGATGGATTGGATGATAAAACTGTGAATGACTGTTTTTTGTTGTGCTGGAATGTTTGTGCAGTTGGTACGATTGGATCGATTTGCAATCTATCATGACTCAAATCATGAGCCATGGAAGATTGACAAGGACTGGGCGAAATTAACACCTCGGGAATGGAGTGAGGTATGTTCTTAATGGTGGCCATATCTTAGTCTGGTATGCACATTTCACTGAGCACGGAGCCTCGCTTCAGTACATGTATTTCTTAATGTGTCGGGACTGCATTGGGAGTGAGATGCATGCAGATGACCCAACATTTTGAGCGTATCCGGATCTGTACCAGATCCAGCTACATTTAGTTTGTAGTGAAGAGGCCCACGAGCCCAGGGCATTGGCCCCAAGTTGTTCTCTCAAGCGTGTGAACCATGGGCTTGATTGGCAGGGACATTTCTGTTCCTATTCATCAGTGTTGACATGAGTTGCAGCATTGCAGGTCAATTTGTGTAGTAGAGTCATTCTCTTGTCGAGTAACTGAGGTTGCAAAAAAATTGTGGTAAAGTCAGGATGATGTTGTGTCGCAAGAAAACAAAAGGGAGAAAATGAGTTTCAGCTGATGTCAGGTGCTGCCATTGCAGTACGAATTGATCATGCGTTGTGCTAAAGGACTGATTGCATCACTACGTATATAACAATCACTAACTCCCCACCTGTGATTAGCAGACAAACGGGGGCCTCCATTTTTTTGAAGCACGATGGTCCTGATCGGCTGCTGATAGTCTCCAAAACGATCAACTCTCAATCTGGATCATCAGTGGTGTTATATCGCACAGCCCAGATTAAGAGTTGATCGTTAGGAACTGAACAGTCGTGGGAGGCCGGTAGCATGCGGCACTGGGCCAGTACCACACGTGGTGCTGGCGGACTGTGTGGCACTTACAGGCCCGGTACTGGTGGTACGAGGCATGTCACTTACAGGGGATTCTGTAAATAACTTCTTGCACCCAAAGAGATGTTGTGCTATTGTACTCTACAGCACCACATGCAACGGTGTCGCTACTCTATAGTGTCACGCACACACACACAGACACACACACACACAGACACAGAGAGAGAGTTTGGGGATCTCGACGAACACACACACATACACATGCCCACTCACATACACACAGATGGAGAGAGAGAGAGGGGGGGGGGGAGAGAGAG